AATGTGGCTGGTGCATTACAAAGTCCAAACGACATTCGCTTGAAGGCAAAGGTGCCATAAGGACAAGTAAAAGTAGTCTTCTCCTGATCCTCTGGGCATATGACAATCTGATTATATCCTGAATAACCATCAAGGAAGCAGTAATATTCATGCCCGGCTAACCTGTCTAGCATTTGATCGATGAATGGGAGTGGGAAGTGATCCTTGCAAGTCGCCTTATTAAGCCTTCTATAATCAATGCAGACTCTCCAGCCCGTAACACGTGCGAGTGGGGATTTAGCTCATTTCTTCTCGTTCTCAACTACAGTCATCTCCCTTTTTAGGCACACATTGAACTGGGCTTACCCAGTTGCTATCAGAAATAGGAAAAATGATACCTGCATCGAGCAACTTGATTACTTCCTTTTTCACCACCTCCTTCATAATGGGATTTAATCTCCTTTGCCGCTCTACACTGGGGCGGCGTCCGTCCTCTAGAAAGATTTTATGCATGCAAAACGGTGGACTAATTCCTTTGATGTCAGCTATAGTCCACCCAATGGCCCTTTTATGCTCACGGAGGACTCTGAGCAATTTTTCTTCTTGAGTGCTGGTCAAGCTGGATGAAATTATCACGGGCAGTGTCTCTGAGTTCCCTAAATAAGCATAGCGCAGATGCGCTGGAAGTGGCTTGAGTTCTAGATTCGGAGCCTCTTCAATAGATGGCCTGGGGAGGGTCAGAGTGACAGGCCTGTCCAATTCTTCAAATTTTCTAACCCCATGTACATAACAACAGGACATATCCAGCACTTGCTCAATTTCTCCCATCCTTTCATCTTCACCATTTTCTACGTCCCCAATCAATACACGTTCAACAGGATCTGCAAGGCTCATATAAGGTACTAATGACGTGGCATCACCTTCTACCACAGAGATCATGGACAACTCTTCATAGTGGGCTGGTAACTTGAGTGCTCTATAAACGTTGAAGACCTCCACTCGATCACCCACTCTCATCGTCATCTTTCCTTCACAAACATCAATAATAGCTCGGCCCGTGGCTAAGAATGGACGCCATAAAATAAATGGGACTTCCTGATCAGGCTCGTAATCCAGGATGATGAAATCAGCTGGGAATATAAAAGACCCCACTTGGACAAGCACATCTTCAATTACTCCCTCAGGATGAGCAAGGGAGCGGTCAGCTAACTGTAAGATAACTGTGGTTGGGCGTGGTTCACCCAACCCCAACTGTCTGAATATAGATAGCGGCATCAAATTTATGCTTGCTCCAAGGTCACATAGAGCTCGCCCAATAGCATGTTTACCAATCGTGATTTGGATAGTGAAACTACCTGGATCCTTTAATTTTTGAGGTAACTTGCCTTGAATTCTGGAACTGCACTCCTCAGTGAGTGCCACAGTCTCGAACTCGGTCAGCCTCCTTTTATTCGCCACAATGTCCTTGATGTACTTTGCATATTTGGGTACTTCCTGTAAGATGTCAACTAATGGAATATTAATTTGTACCTGCTTCAAGATATCAAGAAACTTTTTATATGCGGCATGATCTCGTAATTTCTGCAGTCTTTGAGGGAATGGAGGTGGTGGCCTTGCAACCAATTGTGGGGATTGCTCAGCCATCGCCTCTCCAGCCGGCTTCTCTGGCTCCTTGGCTTTCTCTGATGTTGATTCTACAGTGGCTGGTATCTCATTAAAAGTCTCATGTTTCCTCTTTTTAGATAGTACTTCCTCTAGTTGTCTCCCATTCCTGAACGACACAGCATTAAGGGTCGCTCTAGGATTGGCTTCAGTGTCACTTGGAAGAGCTCCCGATGGTCTAGTATTTTGAGCACTAGCAAGATGTCCCATTGACGCTCCAAATTTCTCACTGTTGTGGCGAGGGCTTGCTGTTCAGCCATCATCTTTTTAAACATGTCTTCAAGGTGACTTGTAGGATTCGCTTGTTGTTCAACCTGAGGTGGTCTATATTGCTGTTGAGGTGCTTGAGGCCTGTATTGATTCTGAGTGCCCTGATTTCCACCCCAAGAGAAGTTTGGGTGGTTCCTCCAGTTGGGATTGTAAGTGTTCCCATATTGGTTTGTTTGGCCCCTATTTGAATTACCCACAAAGCAGACAGACTCTGGGTTTGCGGGGCATATGTCGCTCGTGTGCCCTTCTCCACATATTTCACAAAAAGCCTGAACCTGTTGTACCGGTTGTGTTTGCTGCTTGTTGATACTCAAATTCATCTGGTTCACTTGATTGGCCAGTGTAGCAATCTGCGCTGATAATGCTGAGACGACATCTAACTCAAGAACCCCTGCAGACTTTTGCACTGTGTGCCTGCCCATCTCTCCTTGCCAATCCGGATTGCTCTTGGAGAATTTGTTCAATAATGCATATATCTCGTCAAAGCTTTTCTCCAACACCTGACCCCCAGCTGCAGCATCTACCACGATCTTTGTTTCAGAATGTAGTCCTTCTACGAAAGTGTGAGCTAACACTTCATTCGTCTGATTGTGATGAGGACAGACTCTGAGTAGCCCCTTGAACCTTTCCCAAGCTGAGTATAAAGATTCACCTGCTTTCTGTTTGAAGGCCACTATTTCACTTCTGATCTTGCAGTTTTGCCTGAAGGAAAGGACCTTGCTAGAAATTTTCTCGCCAAATCATTCCATGTTGTAATAGAGTTAGCTGATTCTGCCTTTAGCCATCACTTAGCCTCATCCAATAGAGAGAATGGAAAAAGTGTGAGCCTCACATGATTTGGAGTGACCCCATTAGTGATATAAGTATCACTAATCTCCAAAAAGTTCAGAATGTGCTGTTGCGGATCCTCATGTGGAAGACCCATAAATTGCCCGTTCGTATGAAGTAACTGGATCATGCTCTGTTTCAGCTCAAAATGCCCAGTGATCCTGGGCTTCACGATACTGGAGGTGACATTAGCAATGCTGGGCATTGCCACCTCCTGAACAGCCATAGGTTGCTCCTCTACCATGTTCACAGGAAATTGAACAAGTGCCTGAATATTATTCATGTCCCTTGCTTCCCTCAACCTCTTGTGAAATGTTCTCTCGGGTTCAGGATCAAAGCCTTGAAGTCTGTCCTGGCTTCTGACCCTACGCATTCAATCAAAGTTCCTGAGATCTGAGCAACAATGAAGTAACGTTAGACTAGACAAAATAAGCAATTAAAGCAAAAACTAGCAAGTAGTTAATATTCAAGTCCCCGGCAACGGCGCCAAAAACTTGTTGCTCCCAAACGCACACGCAAGTATACGTGGTCGACAAGTAATATAATGATAAGTTGAGTGTCGAACCCACAGAGACTTGTGTAAACTACTCACTAAATCACTAAACTTGTTATTCAATCTAGCTAAAAGCAAAGTCCAATAATATGATTATACTATACTACGATTCTAAGTAATACTAAATTATCAAGTAACGAATTGATTGTTGTGTATTCGGTAGAGACAAGTATTCCAGGGTTGTGATCGATTCACCATTCGTATTGTGTTCTAATTAACTCTCCCTTTCATATAATTCACCCATGATTACTAATTAATCGATAAATGTTCTCATAGCCTTCTCCCGAAGTACTACTCACCTATTCTCAATAGATTAACGCCTATATTCCTATGAAATCAATCTATTAAGAACGCATTAAGATTACGATATTTAATTAAGCACGGTGACTAGGTATATTCCTATCCTAACCACAAATCCGCTCCCCTTAGGGGTTAAGATCATGCTCTCTTCAATTCTTCTCTAATCTAAACATGGCTTTCCCAAGCATAGCATGGATAGTAAATAGAACCTAACTGTTGGCCAGACAATTAAGCAATAAAACACAGAATTGAAGAAACAACCATATATTGGTGAATTATAATCAAGGTCAAGCTAATATCAAACAACAATATTCATGGCTAACTCACAACCCCAGAACAATGGGTGTTTAGCCACTCATGATGTAATCAAACAATTTCATAAGTTTTGATTAATTGAAAGTACTGGAAAAGATGAAGAATTCCGAGTTGTTCTTGCTCCTCAATGTTTCTAGCGTGTATTTTTACTCCGAAGTGTGTCCTCCCCTTTTCTTGGCCAGCTTCCTTCGTTTAATATAGGGTTTAGGGCTTAAAATCCCATGTTTTGCACTTTGGTCCCTGAAGTTTACGCATCCTGCCGCGGTCCTACCACGGTTACGCCAGGACAGCGGCCAGAGTGGCCTTCAGAATCTGCAGCAGTGTTCTGCTGCAGTCCTACCGCGGTTACGCCCGGACAGCGGCCAGAGTGGCCTTCAGATCTGGTTTTGTCCCTTCGCTTGGTGCACTTTGTGGATATTGTATGATTGGCCTCCTTTTCTCCGTAATTGATCCCAAAAGTACTCCACAGACTTCTTTTAATGGATATAGCCTGCAAAGCATGAAAAGCACTAATCAGAGCATTTTGTTATCACTTTTTACCGTAAAAGCTATACACAAATGTGGTTCTTTAGGGCCTAATTATAGTCTAATTTACCTATTATCACCTATCATCAAGCAGCCAATAGTATTTTTGAAGAGTCCGAATAACGTAGCAACAATAACAACAAACGCAGTGTAATCCCACAAGTGGGGTCTGGGGACAGAGGCGAATGTCACTATAAGTACGGGTTCAATTGAACCCATAACATTTGACGCGGAGCATAAATTCATGTGTAAAATCTATTAAAATTAAAATAAATAGTAGATATGAACCCATAACTATAAAATTATAATGGGTTTAATGCTAAAATCTTAAAAGTTGTACTCATAAGGTTTAAATCCTGGATCCGTCTCTGTCTGGGGAGGGTAGTCACTATACAGCCGTACCCCTACCTTGTGTAGGTAGAGAGGTTGTTTCCGATAGACCCTCGGCTCCTAGCAAACATACAAAAGTCACAACAATATATAGAAGAAATGCAATAAAAGTCCGAATAATGTAGAATTTGAAGTTAACTAACTCATATTATTAATCTAATTTTTTTGGGCCATGAAGACATTTGAGGAGGCAGATTCTAAAGGGGATGGAAAGATAGATATAGAAGAGTGGAATAATTTTGCTGCTCTAAATCCATCTTTATTGAAGAACATGACAATTCCGTATCTCAAGTAATTCTCTAATCTCTATCACTTGCTTTGTATTTATGTAAAATTTACCTGCTATAACAATAATAAAATTGTAGGATTAGTCGTATTAAAGTAACATAGTATGTTCTAATTGCTTAAAAAATACAAAAGAGTCAAATTTTCAGCTGAGTTAATGACACGTTACATGCCACGTCAGTATTTTGATAGTCAGTGGGAAATTTTCATAAAGCACTATCTTTTAGTAGTAATTAGCCATTTATAGATATCAATTGCTATATTACGGATTATAGATACCTTTTATGTGGTTATAAGATGTATTTGATATATTTAAGCTATTTTATTCATGAATACAGTAGCAAAAATAGGCGTGAATCAGGGAAGTCCAGCTAATCAGTTGTTGTATTCGAGTGTATTCGACTGTATTCATGGAGTGAAACATGGGATTACAGCTGGACAGATTATTGTATTCGACTGTATTCACGGCGTGAAATAGGGGGATTACACTATTTTTAAAACGGAAAGTGAATCAATTAACATAATAGACTCATATAACTCAACAAACTCAATTATAACACACAAATTTTGTATTTTCAGTTATTAAAAAGATTCTCAACCGAAAAATACCCCAAAAACATAACAATCTTCAGAGAAATTATATAATACATCTGAATATATAAATTATATTAATTAAAAAAAAAAACTTATGAATACATTCATGGCATATAGCGAGACAGTGAATACAATGAAATACATAGAATACAACGGGATACATTGAAATACAATGAGAGAAAAAGACAGTGAATTCAATAAAATACATGGAATACAACGAGATACATTGAATTATAATGAAAAAAAAGATAATGAATACAATGAAATACATTGAAATATATTAACAGAAAATCATCCTACAACATCCATATCTCCAGGCTCACCATCTCTGGAGACACCTTTGTCTCCACTAACAAATCGAAGTTGGCAGAGACAAATATACTTGAGCAACTCCAAAACTCAAACATGGAGATTTAACCCTTCTAACAGATTTGGGATTCCAAGAACAAAGCCACTTCTGATCTTGGAAGGCCGTAAAATAAAGTTCAAAGAGCATTTTGCCTAAATGCTTATCGCATTATGTTCCCAAAAAATAAAAAGTGTGCAGTAAGTCTTCCGGGGGGCCTTTTTTGGTGAGAAACCAACCAGATTAAATGTTCCATAGATTTTAAACCGGCTGAAGCAGAAAGTGAACCTGCTCTGAAGTGGGTTTTGCACAAATCCGGTGGAAGGAGGAGGAGATCGGAAATTTTGATGGGATGAGGGAAGAGAACGGGATGTATCAAAGTAGAGAGAGAAAGAAAATAGTGTAACTGATTAGCGTATTTAGTGGCTTAGGGGTAGGAGGAATTAAATATTTTTCTATAAACCTTAAAAGGTATCTATAGAATATAATTTTTTTAAATAACATTTATTTAAAATAAATAAGGTATTAACCTTTGCTATAGGAGATAAAAATTCCTAGTTAGTGAATTCTACATCATAGAACTAAAAAAGATTTCACGTTATAAAAGTTTTGACAATTCATATCTTAAACATAATTATTCAATTTAGATACATTTTTAAATGAAACAAAATAATTACAGTATAGAAAGGAGTTGGATTTTAAAATTTTCTAGAATTGAACGACTTTTATACTGTAAGTGTTTTTTCCTTTTATAAAATGTTCTAGAAATGCACGACTTATATGCTATAATTGTTTTATTTCCTTCTTTATTGTGTTCTTTAATTCTTTTTTCAAATTTACGTGAGTAGTGCAAATTTATCAAATTTATGCTGATTTTACTGAATTGAAAGAATGAGTTTTTTTATTTTGCAGGGACATCACAGCTGCATTTCCTAGTTTTGTGCTGAATACAGAAAAGAATGATGAGATTTACAAGGATTTCTGAGTTATATATAATTAAGGAAAATGCAGTTGCTTTGCCGAGTTGTGAATAAACAACTAAGTTTAACTGCACGAATATCAAAGGAAAAAATTGAACTTTTTCTAAGAATACAATTGTTAGGTTGTAAAATGCAAAATGTTTCCCTAACAATGTATTCTTGAAAATTTTCTGGTTTTGTAGTTCATTGCAAATGTTATTTTAGTTATATGTACCTTATGAGGTCGGGATGCCACGTCATCTGCTCGCTTCGCTAAAATTTTACTATGTATATAATATATCTGTGAAATAACGGATATATTAAAGCGATGGCACCTAGAATTAACAAAGTCGATGTGGGTCTTTGATCTCGCGAATGCGAGATCAAATGCATGTTATTCTTTGTTTCTCTCTTTTTTCCTGGTTTTCCTTTATTTTTAGTTGGGCCCCAGCCTCACCTCTTTTTCCTTTTTTTTTCTTCGTTTTCTTTTCCTCTTTTTTCTTCCTTTTATTTGCTGAGTTTCTCTCCTCTTCTTTATTTTTTAAACTTTTGTATAGCAGTCTTTATTTTGTTTCTACTTTCTACTATTATACATTAATTCATGAACAATTTTTTCCAAGTTAGTTAGCATATGATGTATTTTTTTTATGACACAATATAAATTTAAATATTGGAATAATTGGAACCGTCTTTTCTACTGGCTTTTGAAAAAAATAAATTGATTAATGGTGATTTTGAGTTGATTATTATAGGTTGAACGTTGAAGGTTTCGCTTTAAACATATTATCATATAACTCGACAATTAATATGTAAAAAATAACCCAAGAACGATAAAGGTAAATTAATCTAGTCAACAAAGAATATGTAGTATTAAGCTATTCTTTAAGCAAAAAAAATTGATTGGAGACACCTCTTTCATGAATAAAAATGAACCTAAATCGAACTTATTTGCTTTGTGAATGAAAGACCTATTCGAGTTGGACCCTTCCTTCCAACTCGGTCATGTAGCTAGTTATAGGTAATACTTAGAGGCGTACGCATCAATTTTCATAAATGGTGTCAACATCTGAAGAAGTGAACAAATGAATAAATAACTATAGTGACAACGTCGATTTTTGTATTTATATCCAATATTTCTATTTTATTTATTATTTATATATTATATATTTAGTAAAAGTATTTGGGAAGCGATGTCATGTGACACCGCTTGGTGTCATGTATATTCGCCCCTGGATAAACTATATGCATAAAGTAGTGGCACCCGCAACCTCCGATTCCTGAATCGGACTCTGGTTATATGACTTTTTTTCATAGACGAATAGTAACATCTGTGTTAAACCCTTTGAACAAATTTCTGTATATGTCACTACGTCTCATGGCGTTGTCAAATCAAGTATTGGGCGTGCATGCAATAACGAAAGCAAAGTGTAGTTTCACTAATAAAAAGTAGTAGAGAGGAGGAAATGGAGGTGCGGGGAATCGAACCCCGTGCCTCTCGCATGCGAAGCGAGCGCTCTACCATATGAGCTACACCCCCATCTTTGTTTAACACCTTATTTTGCTTAATGGAAATACCTTTGAAATTAACAACCTGATAAATTCATACCTAGGGCTCTCTAACTTACTGCTTGTTTGGATGGTTGTTACGCATCATTTCATAATGTATCGTATCGTATTTTACTGTATCGTTTGATAAAAACAATGTTTGGATATATTGTGTCGTTTGCTATCGTTTCATGATATCATAAAGAATAAACTTGTAATATTATAAAAAAAAATTATGATACAGGGTAAAATTACTATATAAAAAGGTAGGGTAAATGATAAAATAAAATTATTTAATAATAATAAAGGGTGAGATTGAAGAAAAAGACAAGGTAACGACGCGACCACACCAAATCGGTTGTTACATAAAGTGGCACATTTCGTCGTTATGTAACGACGGATTTAACGATACGATACAATAAAATTTAAGTAACAATCAAAACAAACATTGTATTTAAAGTAACAATACAATACAATACAATGGGTAACAACCATCCAAACAAGCTGTTAGACCGTTTGTTTTATTAAGATTCTCCTAATTAAGATAATGTATCTAGAACTAAACATTGCATATTTAAGATTGTTCACTTTCCGAGCCCGGGATCTATCCGAAACAACCCCTCTACCTTCCCAAGGTAGAGGTAAGATCTGCATACACACTAGAGGTAAGATCTGCATACACAGTACACACTACTTTCCCCAGACTCTACTTGTGAAATTCCACTGGGTTGTTATTGTTGTTGCCTTTATTTAAAAAATATAAAATTCAAATAAATTATTAATAAATACTCTACATACAAAATATTAAAGAAAAAAATATTAGTTTGTTAAACGTTGTATAAATTATTTCTTTGATGTAACCATATTTTGAAAGCTAGTGTTGTGGTAGCTGATAATTGTAGCGAGTCCGGAACCAAAATGTGGTTCCTTTTGACTCAAACAACACAAATAGGTGTTAAAAAAAGTTACTTTTTTATGTATAACGCCACAATAACCAGCGCTATATATTAACAGTAACTGGACCGTTAAGTATAGCGCCAGGTATTGTGGAGTTATACTGCAAAAGCTGGCACAGCTCAGGTATAGCGCCATAATACCTGGTGCTATACTTTTTTTTCCTGGCCCCACCAATAGTTTCTGAGTTAAATAATTGAAAAGCGTATAGTGCCACCTAGTTTGGCGCTATATATATAAAAAAAAACTTCCCGGCTAGCCATTTCCTATATAAAGAGGTTAGAATCATATAGAAATTCATTCAAAAAATTTTTAACTCTTGTTGAAACGTCTATTGTTTTTAAATTCTCCAGCAATTTTTCATTATGTCTGAAGAGCGTAGGATAAGAGTTTCATTATATTGGGGGGGTGAGGTTGTGATGGAGAATAACTCTGTGGGCTACAGTTTACCTGCTAAGTGTCATGTTAAATTGCCACTTACAATGGAGTACGATACATTGATATCGTTGTTATGCAAAAAAATGAGTGTGAGGAAACGTTCAGTGATACTTGAAGTAACCGGAAGATATCCGTATTCCGTCACTCCGCAAGGGGTTGCTTTTTACTCGGAGTTTAACATCGACGATAATGAAACTTTGAGTGATTTTCTGAGGACTCCGGACAAATGTCGGGAATTTCTTGTAATCACAATGTTGGAGATGTACGTGAAGGTCGAAGACGTTCCAAAAAACGAGGTTGTGCGTAGTAGAGATAACCCCCAGTCATCGGGTGGTTATTCTGGAACAGTTTTTGACGGACAGGTTCCGGATGAAAGAGTTTTCTTTGATTTAAACTTATCACCGCCGGTGAATGAGCAGCGAGAAAATAATTTATACCCTGCTTTCCATAACTCACAAGACGAGTGGTAAACTTCAATTTTTATTTGTGTTAATTATGTATATAGACCAACTGATACGCGGCGCCTTCCTGAGATTCCTTGGAAGGGCGACGTACGGCTAGGCAACTGATGTCAATACAGTTGCTGTCCGCCAACTGAGGTCCCCTCCGTACGCTAGACGAGATTGTCAGTGCCGTACGGGAAAACCAATATCAAGAGCAATTGAGAGAACAGAAATGAGAATTCAGAATGAAAGAAAGCTTGATTGCATTAATGAAAGCTATTACAGAAAAGCAACACGGTGTCGAGGGGGAGAGACACCAGTACAGAGAATTGCTTGCTTGCTAGAAAGTTTTGATTGCTTGATCCCCCCTAATAGTACTTAAAAAAAATAATCCAAAGTTACAGGAGTAGACCTAATTAAGCTAGAGAAACATAATGGAAGTGCATGAAATAAAACTACTCTATATTTACAATGAAAATGACTTAGTTTTCTATAAAGCAGCAACAGGTCCGTTGTTAGCAGCAGTGTCTTTGGCATCACGGTCTGCGCGCGCGGCGCTGTTGGCTTCTGCCTGCGGCTTGGCGCTCGCGAGGGATATCGGTGGGGCGACAGAGGCACCTGCGCGCTTGTCACTTGGCGCGGCCAAGACCACGGGGCCGTCCGTGGCGCTAGGCATTGGGAGGTTCGCTAGGACGCCACGGGGCGCGCCCAAGGGGTCATGGGGCATGGCTGGAAAGCCGCCCATGACATTCTCCCCCACCTGAGTTGGCGACGTCCTCGGCGCCTTCCTTGCAAAACTAATCTTCAATGAGGCTCTTGTAGGCTTTGAGGTTTGTTCCCCTCTCCCAGTATTCTCTCTGCATCACAGCCCTGCCATTTCACCAAAAACTCTTGGTGATCTTTCCTTGAGGCATGAATCACTCTGTCATCAAGGATAGCTTCAACACGCCTTTTCCCGGTTGAATTGGGACCTCGAATACTGGGTATTGTGAGCTGGCTCCTTGAAGGATCCTCCGTGTCTTCCCGAAAAGGTTTCAGGAGACTGACATGGAAGACAGGATGAATTTTCCACCAAGCTGGGGTATCCACCCGGTATGCAACCTTCCCAATACGCTTCTCAATGGACAATGGTCCAATGTATTTTTGCAATAGGCGAGGGTCATGGACCCCTGCAAATAAGTACCGCTTTGGAATTTTGACCATCACTTTGTCTCCTACTTGATATTCAACAAAGCGACGATTCTGATCAGCATGCCTCTTCATCCGCTTTTGGGCTTTGACAAGATAGCTCCGCACTATCTCCAAATTCCGCCTCCACTCTTTTGAGAAGCTGGTAGCTCGAGGAGATTTAGCCATGTTTGGTGCATTCACAGTGTGTGGGAGTAGCGGTTGCTGTCCGGTAACAATTTCAAAAGCGCTTTTGTTGGTACTAGAGCTCTTTTGTGAATTGAAACACAGTTGAGCAGCATCCAGAAGCTTCACCCAATTCTTCTGCGATCCGGTTACAAAGTGGCGGAGGTATTCCTCCAACATACCATTGAACCGCTCCGTCTGGCCATCAGATTGCGGATGAAAACTTGAGCTGTGACTCAATTTTGACCCAAGGCACCTGAAGAGTTGGGTCCAAAAGTTACTAGTGAAGCGTGAGTCGCGGTCACTAACAATATCTTTGGGCAGGCCCCAATATTTGACGACATGAGAGAAGAAGAGTCGAGCTGTATCTTCTGCTGATATATATTGTGGGGCTGCAATAAAGGTAGCATACTTCGAGAACCGGTCCACCACAACTAAGATGGTTGTGAGATCTCCGACCTTGGGCAATCCGGTGATGAAATCCAGGGAAACGCTTTCCCAAGGTCTCTTTGGAACAGCAAGTGGTTCCAAGAGTCCCGCTTGTGTCAAGCGGTCCGACTTGTTCTTCTGGCATACTAGACAAGTCTTCACATACTGAGCGACATCATCGGCTATTTGAGGCCAATAATAGGCACGACGAAGTAACGCCATGGTGCGTTCTTCACCAGG